CTATTTTTCGGAGTTCTTTAATGAAGTCGAGGTCAGCCCTCCCTAGCTCTTCATTCAGCTATGGGCTTGGATGCATGACTCGAGGGGTCGGTAGGCTAATCTCCATAAGGATGACCACTTCGGCACCATATGCTAAGCAAAAATAGGTCTCTCCTGTGGGGATTCACGTTGTCGTTCGATACACTCAGAGTACATTCGACAACTCTTCTGTCCAGAGATCTTTGATTGCTGCCATCTTGGTCTTGATAATTTTTAATAGGGAACAGTTGGTGACTTTAACCTGGTCATTAGCTTGGGGATGATCGGGAGAGGAAAAACAGGTCTTGATGTTAAGCTCCTCACATAATTCTCTGAATTTGGCATTATCCAACTGTTTACCATTGTATGAGATGATTGCTTGAGGGACCCCGAATCGGCATACAATAGATTGCCAAATGAATCTCGTGGTATTACGCTCGATAATCTTGGCAAGAGGCTCTGCTTCTACCCACTTAGTGAAGTAGTCGATGGCGACCACAGTGAACTTAACTTGGCATTTGCCAGTCGACAAGGGGACTACCAGGTTGATTCTCCATTTGACAAAAGGATAAGGACTGCTAAGTGTGATCAGCTCTGTTAGAGGAGCATGAGGTATGTTGGCAAAGCGTTGGCATTTGTCACATTTAAGTACAAATTTGATAACATCTTGGTTGAGCGTGGGCCGAAAGTAGCCCGTGCGAAGGATCGTGTAAGGCAATGACCGTCCCCCAGAATGGTTGCCACAAATCCTTTCATGTATTTCTCTCATAACATAGGTGGCCTGGGTAGTATTTAAACACCTGAGGTACGGCCGTGAGAACCCTCGCTTGTACAAGATGCCTTCAATGATAATGTAGTTGGTCGACCGAGCTCTAACTTGGTATGCCTCCTTTTTATCTCTTGGTAATATCCCTTGCTCGAGGAATTGGATAATGTCTTGTGCCCATGAGGTTTGTTCGTTTTGAAGTAAGTGGATCTCTTACGGATCTGGTGAGATTGTTGGGTGTGCTAAGTAGTCTATTCTGACTCCAGGACTAAGGTCTGACTGGTTTGCCCAGGCTAATTGGGCCATTTCGTCGACCTGGGAATTCTCTAACCGTGGGATGTCACGACCCAAACCCGGCCCTATGGGTTTAGCACCGTAACCGGCCAGTAATCCGAGATTACCGAAGGCCTGCAGAACGGTAATACAGTAAAACAGAGTACAGGGCCTGGCGGAAGCCAATACAGTCATTATTATTAGCTGCAAAGTAGAGGGCACACTCGAGATCTTTTCCCTTCTGGGGTGGTGATGATTAACCCAGCCCCGTTTCTTTCTTTTTTGGATTAGCCATCAACATTTAGAGCCCAGGAATGAGGGTCGACTTCCTCAGGAGTTGGGCTGATTGGAGGGGAATGCTCAGGAGGGTCGATATTAGTAAACTCTAGAATGAAGTCCGCAACGGCTTGGCCTTTGATAGCTGTACGAGGTCGGTAGGAGATTTCATACTAGTTGAGTTTGACAGACCACTGTATAAGTCTGCTAGAGGATTCCAGTTGTTGCATAACTTTCTTCAAAAGTTGTTCTAGAGAATGGCTATAGAGTGGGCTTGAAAGTACGATCGAAGGCGCCTTGAAGCGATGACAAGAGTGAGTGCTAATTTCTCCAATAGGGGATACTTCTATTCTACCTCCCTGAGTGCGCGATTGTTGTAGTAAACCAGGCGTTGGACTGAGTTTTCCTCTCTGATTAGAGTTACACTGACCACAGTGTGAGAAACGGCCAAATAGAGAAAGAGGGTTTCCCTTGGAAGTGCTTCAGAAAGGAGAGGGGTCTTGGCCATTCACTGTTTCAGTTGTTGGAATGCCTCTTCACATTCGGTGTTCCAAGTAAAAGCCTTCATAAGCACCTTGAAGAATGAGAGGCACTTGTCGGTTGCTCTTGAAATGAAATGATTGAGAACGGCTACTCTGCTAGTTAGTTGTTGAACTTCCTTTACTGTTGTGGGAGACTGCATTTCGATTAAGGCTTTGATTTTCACTAGATGGGCCTCAATTCCCCTGTGATTGACTATGAAACCAAAGAATTTTCCAGACTCAACACCAAAAGTACATTTTCCCGGTTCAGCTTCATTGGGTACCTACGCAAGGTCTGGAAGGTCTCGCGTAGATCTGATAGGTGATCTGAAGCTACCTTGCTTTTAACGAGCATATCATTGACGTAGACCTCAACATTCCGGCCAATCTAGTCTTTGAACATGGTGTTGACCAATCGTTGGTAGGTGGCCCCCGTGTTCTTTAGGCCGAATGGCATCACGTGGTAATGGTAAGTTCCCCTGTTTGTAATGAAAGATGTATGTTCTTGGTCAGCTGCATGCATTAGAATCTGATTATAGCCTGAAAAGGTGTCCATGAAACTAAGCATTTGATGGCCCGCTGTCGTATTGACTAAAAGATCTATTCTTGGTAATGGGTACTTATCCTTGGGGCAAGCGCGGTTGAGGTCGAAGTAATCCACGTAGAGTCACCATTTGTCATTGTTCTTGCGAACCAAAACCACATTGGATAACCATTTCGGATAGTCCACATTTTTAATAAACTTGGGCCTCAACAATTTATCCACTTCATCAGCGATGAGGTTGTTGCACTTTGGATGAACAATGCCCTGCTTTTGGCGAATCAGTCAGAATTGGGGTTCAGTGCTGAGGCGATGAGTGATAGCAAAGGGGTCAATACATGGCATGTCTGCATGGGTCTAGGCGAAGACATCCTTGTGTTCAGTGAGGAGAGCTATAAGGTCAGCTTTGGTTTTAGGGCTTAGCTAGTTGCCAATTTTTGCTGTCTTCGTTGGGTCCATGGGGGAAATGGGTACTTCAACTAACTCTTCTGCTAGTTCCTCCCGAATCAGCTCCTCTTCGTCTTTAGCGTCAAGGCCTTTAATGATCATAGCCTCCCTCATCTTGACCTCCTTTAATAAGGCTACGTAATATTCTCTAGTTACCGTATGCTTGCCTCTCACAGTGTCGACCCCTTGGTCAGTTAGAAACTTCATGGCCAAATGATACATGGACGTCACAACTTGGAGGGCGTTGAGAAACACCACTATCATATTCTATACATGCCACTATCTACCACCAACACCACTATCATATTATATGCATGAACACAATTTCCAGCACTCTTTGATAGTGATTGGAAAGTCAATGGAGCCTACGGAGGTCACTCGATATCTAATGAAGCCGACCAAAGGGGTTTGTAGGGTTGATAACTTTTCTTTCCCGACCTTGAGCTGTTTGAAGGCATTAAGGAAGATAACATCTGATGAACTACCATTATCGACAAGTACATGCCTGACTTTGTAGTTCGATAGGAGGGCAAAAATGACCAGAGTGTTGTCATAAGGGTATCGAATTCCTGTGCAGTTCGCATCCGTGATGGTGATTAGCTCTGACCACTATTTAGGTTACTTATGGGGTCGGTTGACTGTCGTCGCTTCTTTATCCGATCCTTGCCAGATATTTCTGAGCTTGGCTCGCTGTGTCGACCAAGATGGTCCATCGCACGCGAGTCCACCCGCAATGACCTTGATTTCTCTCATTGGAGGTGCGAGCCCTCCTTGGGCTCAGGGTTGTTGGGCTCTGTTATCATTTTGCCTAGGTTGTCCAGGCTGCCTACGAGGAGTGCATCTGTCATTCTGCCTTGGGGGGGTCGGTCCTGGCTCTTTGGTGGGGGCAGGTTATGGTGAATCGGTTTAGGCGCCCCTGATGGATCAGTTTCTCAACCTGGTCCTTAAGATTGACACACTCTTCGGTGTTATGTTCGTGGTCATGATGGAAACGATAGTATTTGGATTGGTCACGTCGAACGAAAAGGGATCTTGATGGTTGGGGCCATTTTAGGTTATAGTCACGTTGAATTTGGTTTAAGACTTGCTCCATGGGCGAGTTAAGAGGGGTGTATCGCTCGAACTAACTAGGTAGACAGGTAGGGGTCGGTCGATCGGAGCGTGAGGATTGATCAGTATATTGAGGAGGTCGGTGAGTGTATTGTGGATGTTTGGGCTCATGTTCTTTTTTCTTTTCTTTGGACTATGGGGGCTTAGAAGTAGAATCTTGGCGAACTGCTAAAGAGTCTTCAATGTTCATGTATTTTTGGGCTTTGGCGAAGAGGACGACCATAGTGGGCAGAGAATTTTTGGAAAGGGAAAAGAGGAAATTAGACTGGTGCAAACCGGCCATGAAGGCTGTTAAAATGACCTTGTCATCGTTCTCTCCAATCTGTAATGCCTTTGTATTGAAGTGGGTGACAAAGCTACGTAGCGACTCCCCTTCCGTTTATCGAATATTAGCAACTAAGTCGCTGGATGCCACTATCGTTGATCACCAATGAAATGGCTTAAGAAAGATTCGCTAAGCTGGTGAAAAGAAGTGACAGAGTCAGGCTGAAGCTAACTAAACTAGAGTCGTGCAGACCTATTCAGCGTAACGGGAAAAACGCGACACATGATCTTGTCTAGAAAACCATGGACGATCACGAGTGTCCTGTATGCTTCCACGTGATCGACCAGATCCATTGTACCATCGAAGGTGTCGATCGACGACATTTTGAACTTAGCAGATAGAGGTTTGTCCTTGATAGAAGCAGTAAAGGGGGATTTGGTGATGGAAGTAGATTTGTTCTACATGTTCTGCATGACCCCTTAGAGCTGGAGCTTCAGCTTCATGGCTCGTAGTTCTTCGTCTTAAACAGGAATATTGTCTCCTCTTGCATGAAGTGGAGGTTGAACATTACTAGCTTCTTCCTCATGGACAACATCGTGATGCTGTGGAGGGTGATCATGGAAGAGTAGAGGCTCTTTTTGGTGAAACTGCGAGCTTAGAGAAGGGGCGTACGGACCATCAAGATTCGATGGTTAAGCTTGTGGGGTGAAGGGTGGGAAAGACCCTTGGGACACATGTGGTCAGAAAGAATGATGCTTGTGGGCTTGCTCCTGGTTTGGAGGAATGTCTTGTGGTGGTGGAGGAGGAGGAACAGGTAAGTCATGTTAGAGCAGAGCGTTAATCAATGCTTAGTTTTGTTCAGTTAGGCGGTTGATGTTGTTAGTGAGTTCTGCGAAATATGGAGGTGGGTTATTCTAATTGAAGGACTCAGCTTAAGGGTTACCAGCATTGTGTTGTGAAGCCATGGATTTCGTTGTAACCATCCACTCCGACGTAGAAGATAGGTGATGGTGGAATTTCCTCCGATTGTCAACCAGGGGGTTTCCCATAAACGACCCTAACTAATAATGCAATACGATCTGTGAGGTATGGATCAGACTGATCTACATGCTCCACGGGTCTGCTGGCCTTATTCTTCTTGGTGCACGCCTACAAAAGGCCCAATGGGAAGGTACCAAGACTGGAGTGGTTCCTCCCCGTGGACTCTCCAATGGTTATGTTAGACAAGAAGTGGTCAGAAAAATAGATTAGAGAAAGTTGAGGGTTAAGAGAAAGAAGAAAGAAAGATAGAGTATTACTTGTTTTTAAAACGTTATTCACAAGCTTCCTTATATCTTTTACTAATCATTTCCTTGTCCATTCGAGTTGTCTTATTGGCCGAAAGTCTATAGTCTAGTCGTCGTCAGTCATGGCAGTTTCACCATACGAGGGAACGAGGTGTCTTGTTACATTTAATGCTATGACAGCTTCATTTAATGTTTGATATCTGGACTCAATAACTCTGCAGTATCTTTGTCTACTACATGGTTAACTCCTTATCTAACAAGTGTCTAAATGCCACAAGGCCTGGACTAGTACATGTTTTTCGGTAGACCTGCTGTTGAGTTTCACCTCTTGAGCCATAACTAAATGACCAGTTAGGCCACCCAAGACAGTTGTGGGTTAGGCTTTTCCGGGCGATGTGGGTCATGCCCATCAATCACTGTGTTAATATAGTTAACTATCTTTTTTTTTTTTTTAAACAATTTTTATTTTCAATTTAGCAATAAATAGGATTGTACACAATAAATATTAGTATAAGGAGGAATGGATCCACGTTTTCTGTGAACATATAAAAGTCAAAATTCTCTTCATATAGTGGAAATATAGCATAGCATTTGAAGAATCATAATATGAAAACAAAAAACTCTTAATATCCATTATCTAACAATTCTTTGGAATAGATCACAACTGGAAAAGATCTAAGAAAGTGAAACGACAAAATTCTTTGTATCATTGTCATATCATTTTGAATTTATGTCAAAATTATTCAACATTAACTTGCTTCATTTATTTTTTCGTGATATAATATCATGTTACTTTTATTTTATTTTATTTTATTTTATTTTTTATGTTCGGTTTGTATCGTGTTGAATTAATGTGTCACAACAGAACTTTTCAATTAAAAAAAACTAAGAATATGACAAAATTATTCAGTGTGTTTGGTTTCAATTTTCTGAATCTAATTTTTTAAAAGTTGAGTCTTTTATTTTTCATTTTTTTTTGTTTTTAGTGAATATTTTTAAAATTTTAAACAATTTTATTTATTTTTTTTAATTTTTAGATGCATCTTACTTAAATGTATCTAAAAAATAAAATATATTTGAAAAAATATTTTAAAAAATTAATAAATATACAAAAATACAAAAAATATACTGAATTTTTTTATATTTTTTGTGCATTTTTCGGCATTTAGTTAATTTTTTAAAGATTTTTTTTCACAAATATTATAATTTTTAAGTATATTTATGTTAGTTGTGTCTAAAAATTAAAAAAATTAATAAAAATATTAAAAAAAATTATTGAAAACAAAAAATACGAAAAATAAAAAAGTAAAATTTTCTGAAAAGTAAATTTGGAAATCAAAACCAAACAAAGTGATTCTTTTTTCTCTGATTTGTTTAGTTTTGATATGTCCTGACAAAAAAATTCAATTAAAAACACCATATATATGACAAAGCTATTTTGTTTTCTCCGCAAATTACATTTTATGAAACTAATTTTATTCATAAAAATGGTTAATTTTAAATGAATTTCATATTTCCAATTAAAAAAAAAACAATATCATTATATTTTGGTTAGATTGACTAAAAAATAAGTGACAAAATATATATTAGCTTAAATGAAATGGAAAAAAAAAAGTATTAACTTTAAAATCCTATTTTACGTAAAAAAACTAAAGGATAAACTACAAATACACTCTTTGAGATTTACTTAAAATACAGATTGTCTCGTATAGTTTAGAAAATTATAAATATTCCATTATCAAAATATTTTATTTAACAGAATTAACTGAAAAAATAAAATTACTTACTGCTAATGATAAAATTACATAAACTATTAATTAAAAAAAGTTTAAAAATTGTTAATTGACTTGATGATTTATTAATAAAAAGGGCTAATTTGTTATAAAATTAGAAACTTGAAGAGACGGGTTGTAATTTTTAAAACCATAAGAGGTAAATTGTATTTTAAATAAACCTTAAAGGGTGTATTTGTAATTTACTCCAATAACAACTTTTAGTCAAAATAATATATAATATCAAAATTAATAGATATAACTAATTTTTCATAATTTATATCAATTTTATGTTCCGCAAGTTCGATACTAACTTAATTTTTGTGTTATCAATATATTTATGTTTGTATCGAAAATTCATCAATTATGATCCACTAATACGGTGTGACTTGAGTTGAAAAGTCACATCCTTAACTCTAGGTACGTAAAATTTTAAAAAAATGAAAAATACACAAAATATATTTTTTGACTAATTTTTTTTTATTTTTTTTATTTTTATCTTTAATTGTAAAGTGGATCTCTTGTCAAATATGTAGGTCATTTTTAAAATAAATCTTTAATTTTTTTTTAAATTTTAAATGATTTAAAATAAAAAAATTACTTTTGATAATATAAAACGTAATAATATAGAAACATTGATGTAAAATTTTTGTGCACAATTGATAAACTTTAAAGAAAAATACCTTTAAAGAATAAAGTGAGTTTTATTACTCTTGAAGTATATAGATTTTTTGAGTGGATGTCCTAATACAAATGAAATGATCATGTTGATGGGAAGGAAAGTATCCTTTCTCTTAAATGAAAAAGGGTAATGATACATCCCTCTAATTTTAGAGTTTTAATTGAGTTCTAATAATGTGACAAAGAATAAATAAAATAAAATCAAGATCAAAATATCACATCACACAGTAAAATCCACTCACATTAGAACTCATTTATTAGAGCTCCCAATTATTTTTCAATAAGATCCAGTGCAATTATCAGCTACTAGTAGGCAACAGAAGACTCACCATGTGACAAAATTAAGAGACTTACATGGATGTGAGAAGTGAAAAAACTTAATAACACATATTTGATTCTTTATAGTTTTTTATTTACATTTCATGCGTTAGTAATTTTTTTTTTTCTACCTCCATGTAATTTTTCATAAAATTACGAAAGTGAGCTTAAAAATGATGAATAAAAGGGAAAATTTCAACACACTGAGATGAACAAAAAAATATTACAAAAACATGTGACATGTAAGTGATTTTGTGATGAGATACAAGTGAGAAATTGTGACCCCTCCATATTTGTGTAAATTTTTTTATTTTTTTTTCTCCCACACATTGAGATGTTGGCTTATTTTGGCAAAACATGGTTTAAAAGTCACCTTTTTAATTTTTTTAAGTTATATTATTTCTTTACTTTTTTATATATTTTTTTAAAAAATAAAAAAAAATTCTATTTTTAATTTACTTTTCAAAATAGGCTGTAATTTCTCCAAAATAAAAAGCCACTCTGATTTCAATGTTTACAGCAAGAAAGTAATTTTATGAGTATTTTGACCATTAAAAAAAAGAGGGGCAAAATGGAAAACAAAAAGGGCAATGCTAGAGGGCCACAAAAATAGTGGTTTAAATAGCTCAAAACTGTCAAAACGACGTCATTCTAGATGCAAAACAATGCAAAACGACGTCGTTTTAACAGTTTTGAGCCATTTAAGCCACTGATTTTGTGACCCTCAAACATTTTCCAAACAAAAAACAGAGCCACTTATGAACGGTAAAAACACTGTTTAAAAGTGCTCAACTCCCATTCCCTTATATTATAGTGTATATAGATATAGATATATCGTATATAGATAAATATAAATAACTAAAAGGAACTCTTGAATCCAAAACTCTGATACTTTCTTTCACTACAGTTTAGTTTTTCTTACTGACATTGTGCCTTTTGTTTTCAGCAATTGAAGAGAGACATAAGGAAGGAAAAACAAAAATGATTGGTTTGGACCAAATCCTTAGCAAATCTTCGTCCCTAATCACAGGAGGCTGCAAAATAGCCTGGAAGCACATTGGCTATGTGATTGACTACAAGAAGAACATTGAAAATCTCCTAAACGAAACCGAAAAATTTGAAAATGAGCTAACAAGGATCGATGGAAGGGTCGAGAGAGCCAAACACATTGGTCTAATCCCCGAGGCTGACGTTCTGCAGTGGATAGCGTCAGCAAAGGGGATCAAAGGAGATGTGGAGGCATTACTGGTAGAAGCAACAAGAGAAAACATGTGGTGCCTCAAATGTTGTCCGAATGTTTCTCAGCGTTACAAGCTAGGCAAGGAATCCAAAGTGAAGACGGCTAGTGTCATTAGGGTAAAAACACTGTTTAAAAGTGAAACACTGTTTAAAAGTGCTCAACTCCCATTCCCTTATATTATAGTGTATATAGATATAGATATATCGTATATAGATAAATATAAATAACTAAAAGGAACTCTTGAATCCAAAACTCTGATACTTTCTTTCACTACAGTTTAGTTTTTCTTACTGACATTGTGCCTTTTGTTTTCAGCAATTGAAGAGAGACATAAGGAAGGAAAAACAAAAATGATTGGTTTGGACCAAATCCTTAGCAAATCTTCGTCCCTAATCACAGGAGGCTGCAAAATAGCCTGGAAGCACATTGGCTATGTGATTGACTACAAGAAGAACATTGAAAATCTCCTAAACGAAACCGAAAAATTTGAAAATGAGCTAACGGGAAGGGTCGAAAGAGCCAAACGCAATGGAGAAATCCCCGAGGCTGATGTTCTGCATTGGATAGAGTTAGCGAACGGGATCAAAGGAGATGTGGAGGCATTACTAGTAGAAGCAACAAGCGAAAACATGTGGTGCCTCAAATGTTGTCCGCATGTTTCTCAGCGTCACAAGCTAGGCAAGGAATCCAAAGAGAAGACAGCTAGTGTTATTAGTCACAAAGACACCGGCAGACAGTATATGACAATAGAAGTGGCATGGCATGCACCTGCTTTGAAATTTGGGAACAATTTCTCTCAAGGTTACGTGGCTTTTGATTCAAGAGAAGAGATCTTTGAGGAGATCATGAAAGCGTTGGCCGATCCTTGCATTAAAATGATTGGTCTATACGGACCAGGCGGTGTTGGCAAGACCACAATGGCAACAGAGGTTGGCAAGCTAGCAAAGCAAAATGAGCTATTTGATGATGTTGTGATGGCAACTATCTCCCAAACCCTGAATGAGAAAGCTGTTAAAGAAAAACTAGCGCTCCAATTGGGACTAACACTAGATGGACACGCATATCAACTATATCATAGATTGAACAATGGGGAAAGGAACCTCGTAATATTGGACGATGTTTGGAAACCACTTGATTTGGCGGACATTGAAATTCCAATTACTGATGGTAATAAGGGCTGCAAAGTTGTGATAACATCACGGAAAAGAGGTTTGTGCCAAAATATGTCAGTGCCAGTCAATCAGAACGATTCCTTGAATGGAGTCATAGCGATGCCAAAAGCATGGACCAAAGAGTTCATGATAGGAGTCTTACGAGAGCCAGAAGCATGGGCCCTATTTAAGAAAGTCGCCGAAAAATTTCTGTGGAATCTGAAATCCCTTCTAAAGCAAAGGAAGTGTGTGACAAATGTGGAGGTTTGCCAGTTGCTATACGTGCAGTTGCAGTAGCATTAAAACACAAGGGAAAACATGCGTGGAAAGATGCACTTCGACAACTTAAAAATTACAAGATAAAAGAAATTGCGGATATCGATCAAAATTTGTTAATCTCATTAAATTGGAGCTATGATCGTCTAGAGCCCAGGGATGCACGGTCATGCTTCTTGCTCTGCTCTTTGTTTCCAGAAGATGCTGAGATTTCAATTGACGAATTGGTGAGATACAGCATTGGGATGGGGTTACTTGATGAAAACCTAAATATATTTGATGAAGTAAGAGATAGAGTACTTGCGATGGTTGATGTCCTCAAAACATCTTGTTTGTTGTTAGATGACACACATGAAAGTGTGGTCAAAATGCATGATATTATTCGAGATGTCGCTATATCGATCTCAGAAGATGAGAAAAGATATCTAGTAAAACATGGTATCGAGAAGTGGCCAGAGAAAAGCAAATATGAACACTACTCGGCAATCTCATTAAGGTTCACTGCAACTATTCATGAGTTTCCCAATGAGTTGGACTGTAGAGGACTCCATACCTTGGTGTTAAAGTGCGACAATGACTCACCAACAGATTTTCCAAACAATTTTTTCAATGGAATGGAAAACAATCTTGAAGTCCTAGATCTGAGTGAAATGCCTATAAAGAGCCTGCCATCATCACTTCTGACATTAGTTAAGCTTCGGATGTTATGTCTAAATGTCGGCCGATTGATGAGAGACATAGCTTTATTGGAGAGTTTAAGGAACCTTGAGATACTTAGCCTTCAACATATGGAAAAGGTTCTGCTTCATGATGAAGATGGAACAGGGTTTTCTGAACTACAGTATCTTGAAGTCGAAGAATCTGATGATGTTGAACATTTTCTTGGCACACCAGAAAGGTTTCTAGAATCTCAACCACAAATTCCACCAGGTTCTTTTTGTAACTTGTGTGAATTGCGTCTTGGAAATTGTCAATTTAAATTTCTCTTCACACACTCCATTGCAAGAGGTCTTGAGCGACTCCAACATCTAGAAATAGAACACTGCGAGGATATGGAAGAAATTATTAGAAATGAAACACAAGGAGATGAGGAGGAAATTATTTTTCATCATTTAAAAAAAATGGTGTTAAAGAACTTACCCAACCTTAGAAGCTTCTATTCGAGTATGAAAAACACTTCAACAACAGAGGCAAACAATTCTAACTCTTCACGACCTCTCTTTTGTGAAAAGGTTTGTTTTGTAGTAACTTTTTCTGTTGATTTGGAAATGCTTGATAATTGAAAGAACATAAGTTTGATCTATTAAATTTTGCAGGTGGCATTTCCTTCCCTGGAGGACTTGGAAATCAGTAATGTAGGAAACATATCAGGGATAATAGGGGACAACCAATTAAAACTCCAAGTCCAACAAGAAGAGAATGAATCATTTTGGCAACTAAGGAACCTACCGCGTCTCCGAGATCTACGTATATTCCGATGCTCCAAACTGAAAGCAATAATAGTAACTAATAAGGAAAGAGGGGCCCACAATAAGCCTCTTATTTTTTTTGAACTGCGTTCTCTAAAGCTTTCTGGGTTATATAATCTCAAGAGTATCTGTGACTATTGTGGACCTGAAGGAGAAGAGGGAATAGAAATTCCAGAACCACTACCCCTCTTTAATGAAAAGGTATGCCTACTATAAGTTTTATGACTTTTCAAATTTTTAGAGTACTTAGTTTCTAATCAGTCCAGTCATAAACCACTTTCATAAAATTCAAAGTATCAATACTAGCATGTGATTAAAAATTCGATAGTGCTAAATACTTATAATATTTACTCCATAAATTTATTCAAAAATTTTAATAAATGTCTAAATGCATTTTATTTATGAATCCACGATACAAAAGTTGAATCTAAGCCAGTTATCTCCATTTTGGATAAATTTCTAGTTCAATTTTTGAGTTCAAAGATTTATTAGTTAAATTTTTCTACCCATATTACCTTTAATCGTAAGGAAGTATACTAATTTTTGTGGTATTAGTTATTATTGAATTTTGTGATTATGTTATAAACATTAAAAAAACTAAGATTTTTTTTTTTTGGATGAGCAATCTTATGTATTTTTGTGATTTTGTTGCAATTAATTATGATAAAGTTATGAAATATGGTCCGGAGTGTGCATGAAAATTTTTCCTTCATTCATTCCCCAACCAAAATAAGATTAATACTAATACCACCCAAAAGATCTTGAATTGAAACCTAATTAAAGTAGATTCTGAAACCGAAACCGTAGACATAAAATTAATGACGTCATGGAGATAATACTATTTTTTGACCCTAGATCCTGATCACAAAATCTATGATTGTAGGATTTGTTTAGGGAAGTGAAAATAAAAAATAAAACAAGAAAAACTAAGTGAGATGAATGGAATGTTTTTACTTTTGTTGAAAATATAAAGAAAAATAAATAGCTGTCCAATTTATCTATATATATTTTTGCTTTTGTTAGGATTTTGTAATTGACAATCCCCGTTTGACAAAACTTATTTTAATTGTAATTTTATTCATTTTTTTGTTTCTGTGAGATTATGAGTATTTAGATGCGAATTCAACGCGAACTGTGCCTTATAGAGGAGTTTGTAATATTAATCTTTTCATGTTTACAACTTGGCGACTGTGACACCTTAAAAATCGAGAATATCAAAGAATATACTAACAAATAAATACAGGGTTATCTAAAGTTATAAGAGTAGGAAACGTCACTAATGAGTCTTTTGGCTAATAACTAAGTAAGATCCCAGGAAGGTCGGAGGAGTAAATATAGCCTCACTTCTAAGTCTAACCACCTCGGATAGCAAAGCTACCTTTTTGGCAGATCTTGACAAAGTATTAACACAGGGCCTACATGAGTTGACAGAGTATAAGGATGGGTTACAAATGATATATACATATAAAATAATTACAAAATCATGTCTTAAATACAACAAACAATTAATTATTTACAATCTCAAAATGTGTTTACAAAACTAGTTCCTAACTCTCATAGGGTAGCCATACGTCTTCAAATTCTTCAGCCTTGCCTTCGACCAGTCTAATAGTCCTCAATACCTGTCATGAAATGCCGTAAGCTTTGAATGTCCAGTAAACGCACACACCCCGTTCCTTTTTCCCAATCCAATACACCATTACAATTATAACAAGCAATTAATGAAGTCTAATAATCATTCAATAATAAATGATTACAAGGTTAGATGTTAGTAATCTAGAAATCCACCAAAGAGATTTCATCCTCCCAACCATAAGAATTGGACACCGAACTATTTAGAACTCCCCCTTTTGCTGCTTTGTAGACCTTACCACGAATGCCTACAACAGCTACATACCGCGTAGCGCCATCGATGAACCTCAAAAGGGATAGCGAAAAGAAAAAAGGTTTTATCATCCTGAATCCAACCATATCCTTCCAAAAAATTTTTATCCTCCTGAATGTCCCACCTAGACCCAATCTTATCTCACCAAATCAAATCATCGCAAGAGTCCGAATACGTCCATTCCATTCTAGGGTCTATGCGATAACTGCTTGCGCAAGAATTAACTTCAATTAGGGAGCACATCAATCCATATATAACACATTATCACCTCTTCATTATTCACGTGATCGAAAACCCAATACCACCACAATTAAGGTTTTTTTTCCTTCATTCATTCCCAACCAAAATAAGATTAATACTAATACCACCCAAAAGATCTTGAATTGAAACCTAATTAAAGTAGATTCTGAAACGGAAACCTTAGACATAAAATTAATGACGTCATGGAGATAATACTATTTTTTGACCCTAGATCCTGATCACAAAATCTATGATTGTAGGATTTGTTTAGGGAAGTGAAAATAAAAAATAAAAAAATAAAAACTAAGTGAGATGAATGGAATGTTTTTACTTTTGTTGAAAATATAAAGAAAAATAAATAGCTGTCCAATTTATCTATATATATTTTTGCTTTTGTTAGGATTTTGTAATTGACAATCCCCGTTTGACAAAACTTCTTTTAATTGTAATTTTATTCATTTTTTTGTTTCTGTGAGATTATGAGTGCTTAGATGCGAATTCAACGCGAACTGTGCCTTATAGAGGAGTTTGTAATATTAATCTTTTCATGTTTACAACTTGGCGACTGTGACACCTTAAAAATCGAGAATATCAAAGAATATACTAACAAATAAATACAGGGTTATCTAAAGTTATAAGAGTAGGAAACGTCACTAATGAGTCTTTTGGCTAATAACTAAGTAAGATCCCAGGAAGGTCGGAGGAGTAAATATAGCCTCACTTCTAAGTCTAACCACCTCGGATAGCAAAGCTACCTTTTTGGCAGATCTTGACAAAGTATTAACACAAGGCCTACATGAGTTGAAGTATAAGGATGGGTTACAAATGATATATACATATAAAATAATTACAAAATCATGTCTTAAATACAACAAACAATTAATTATTTACAATCTCAAAATGTGTTTACAAAACTAGTTCCTAACTCTCATAGGGTAGCCATACGTCTTCAAATTCTTCAGCCTTGCCTTCGACCAGTCTAATAGTCCTCAATACCTGTCATGAAATGCCGTAAGCTTTGAATGTCCAGTAAACGCACACACCCCGTTCCTTTTTCCCAATCCAATACACCATTACAATTATAACAAGCAATTAATGAAGTCTAATAATCATTCAATAATAAATGATTACAAGGTTAGATGTTAGTAATCTAGAAATCCACCAAAGAGATTTCATCCTCCCAACCATAAGAATTGGACACCGAACTATTTAGAACTCCCCCTTTTGCTGCTTTGTAGACCTTACCACGAATGCCTACAACAGCTACATACCGCGTAGCGCCATCGATGAACCTCAAAAGGGATAGCGAAAAGAAAAAAGGTTTTATCATCCTGAATCCAACCATATCCTTCCAAAAAATTTTTATCCTCCTGAATGTCCCACCTAGACCCAATCTTATCTCACCAAATCAAATCATCGCAAGAGTCCGAATACGTCCATTCCATTCTAGGGTCTATGCGATAACTGCTTGCGCAAGAATTAACTTCAATTAGGGAGCACATCAATCCATATATAACACATTATCACCTCTTCATTATTCACGTGATCGAAAACCCAATACCACCACAATTAAGGTTATTGTCGAGTTAGATGTCTTTAATTAAAATTAGAACAACTTAACAAGATAGTAATATCCACATAAGTATGAGCATCATCAAATGAAGAAGATAAGGAATATAACCATAACACATGCAATATCATATATGAAGACATGATCATATACTAATAAGGATATTCATGAAGACAAGAGCTTAGAATACCAATGCAAAACTAAATTTCTAGATTCAGTACCATTTAAAAATTAAAATCAAAAGGACCATTTCAGATTTTTCCCGAGCCTAGCCTTCCTATGGTTCTTATCGAATTCCATCTAGTTTTTAGAACATTTTTCAGAAATGGAATAGCTTTTCTAGATTTTTAGTTATTTAAGAAACATTTTAACGTTGTCCAGATTCATCGACCATTAAAAAAATCAGATTTTCTTATAAACCGCTTACTCTTTTTCAATGAAACCAATTTTCCTTGAAAGATAACTATTTAAGGAAGCTTTTGACATAAAACCGAAGTCCATGAGATTTTTCTGCATTTTTCTAGAATTTTTGAAAGTTGGCTGTAAAATAGGTTTTTCATGCACAATACTCAAAACAAGAAGATTGATGAGAAAAGATGCCAACTAAGGGAAAATTTTCACTTATTTTGTGATGAAAACATACTAAATAATGTGTCAATAACTCAGATTTTTAGAGTGGTGGTATGCCTTTGGAAATAATGTGAGATATGAGAAGAAAAATGTAATTTTGCATCTATTAAGAGGAAATATGAGTAGGAGAAGGATCAAAGCCAAACTTACCCACTTTGAACACATGAACACCATTACAACACATCTAAAAACATAATTTTAAATCTCTAATAACATATATTTGAAAAATGAAATAGAAGGCGAGATGGTGATGTGGCTTACTTGATTGCCTAGTGGAAGAGTTTGCACAATTTCTTCTCTTTTTTCCTTTCCTCTACCACCAAAGCTCTCTTCCTCTCTTTTCCTCTCCCTCTCCTCTCTTTCTCAGCTGAATATGTGTGAGTGTGTTTTGTGCTCAAAAGTGTAGAGAGGATTGGTGTATTTATAGAAAAAAAAGAATGGTGAAAAGTCCAAAATGTCCTTAGTTCCAATTCAATTAAATAGGCTTGGATTTAGTTAGGGTGTAATGGAATGAGGGGTGATTAGGGCCCTAATTGTGTACTTAAACAAGTTCTAGTTAGGGTTATGTTTAATTAGAACTAAGCTAGTTACAAGTACAAGACAAATTTTTTTGAATTATGGTATCAAGGTCAAATTTTCTTCCATGAATCATGCAATGTTGTTTTCAAAAGTACACTACAAGTGTATATGCTAGGGTGGCTGGCCATGTGATATAGATTTGAGGGACTTTTATTATTTATATATATATATACATATTGTAGATATTTTATCAGAAAAAATAAACCAGTACAAATACTTTCATTTTTAAATTCTAGATCTAAATATAACATAATTGTTTAAGCTTTTAAAAACAACACTTAAAACATTTGGTATCAGAACGGAAAAAAAAAAAATAATCCTAAACCCAAGACAGTATTTCATAATAGAATTATGAACTCTATTTAAACATCAATTTGGAGACTGATGAATCATAAGCCCTTATTAAGAACAATATTTACAACGACACGTTTTATTTTTTTTGTCATTTGATGAGCAAAGAGGCTGAATACTAGATTGCAATCATTGTGACTGTAGTTTAATAGGTTTTCTCAAGAACTAAACCAGGAATCTTCTTCTTCTTATCCAAAAATACAACATCAAATGCAAATTAATTTTAAAGAGAGAAAGAAGTTTGTAAATGATTCGTTCATTCATTTTGAATCCTTTGAAATTAAATTTGAGAAAAAAAAAATTATTAGTTTGTTTATTAATTTCGTGCCATTGGACTTGCTTAATAGCAAATTGGAGGGTGTGTGAGTGTAAGCCTAATGAACCAGACTAGTTGAATTGATCATTTTTTTACACTTCTATATGGGGAAGAAAAAACTTTAATATAAGGGTGATACCATGTCATTAGTATTATCAAGCCATATCATTAGTATTATCAACCAATTATTTCTTATCTTTTACCCTCCATGTATATGTGGCAAGGTAATTGTTGGGTTGACCCTGCACATAATGTATATTTATTGATTGTTGGTGATACCACGTCATCGGTACCACTGCTAGTTTTTTTTTTTTTTTAGATGGAAAACACACGAGTACATCTGATAATAAGTCGTCAATTAAAGTATATTAGAGTACAAAATAAAATTTTTACTTTGGTCTGGAAGGTTAAGGGTTTTAATTTTCGGTGGTGCTACATGCATCAATTAGTGTACTAACTAGTGTATCAATTGATAATGTAGCATAATTTAAAAGGTTTTTGGTATTTGTAAGGTGATTAATGAGTGGGGTCAACACTAATTATAACATTATTATTGACCCACTCATTAATCACATTACAAATACCAAAAACCTCTTAAATTATGTTACATCATCAATTGATACACTAGTTAGTAGACTAATTGGTGCATATAGTATTATTCTTCAATTTTTAACCAAACACAAAGATGGATAATCTCTCTATCATTATATTGTTATTTATTTATTTCTATTATGGGTTTTTTACTGTGGTATTTGTTGGGCTTAAGTAGTTTCTTACTTTCTTGCCCTTGATTTTCTTAGTGGTATTTGTTAAGTATTTGAGAATTATTATTTTTTATTTATAAAAAAAACATATAAAAAAATAAAGAAAATGATTCAATAATTTATAGTAAGTTTTTTAGCAAAAATCAAGGTTCCCAAACAAATTGATGTAATTTGTTGAGTTGAGTTGTTGGATTATAATTGTTCAAATTGATATAATAATTATTTTCATATTTGTAATTAATTTTTTTATCAATTGGCAAAATATAAAATAATAAAAAAAAAAAACTAGCAAAGCCACTATTAGAGACTCAAAATTTAAACACAAAAAAAAAGTTGTCTAACACAAAATTAACTAAGAGTAACTAAGATGTTTTTCCTCTTAATGTTATTTACACATTTTTTTATTACTCTCCTAGTTTCAAGTTGATTGTCTATTTTCACAATTTCAAACGTCTTGAAAAATAGTCTATATTTTCTAATTTTTTTCAATGATTTTGAAAACTGAATTAATTGATATATTTTAGTTTGTGAAAAAATTGGATTTATAAAAATATAGTAGGGTAAACTACCAATAGTTTTTAATATTTAGACTTAATTCCCATAAAGTCTTATTCAAAATAAGTCCAAATAAATTCGTTGCTAAAAATAATTTTTTGTGACGATTTTTTACATATGTTGCTAAAAATTGACAATTTGTGACTTTTTTTGTCACAGTTTTCATAAACTCTCGCTAAAACTTACGATTAGTGATTTTTTTTGTGATGAAGTTTTCAAACTGTTGCTGAAAGTTGTAAATTAGTAACCTTTTTTTGTGACAATTTTTTTAAACTATCGCTAAAAGTTATAATTTAGTGACATTTTTTGTGACAAAATTTTCAAACTGTCGCTGGAAATTAGCAATTGCTGACATTTTTTAATAGTATTTAATGAAAAATGTTATTAATTATTATAGAACTTATTGGACAATTTTACTTATTAGGACCTACACGTAAGTTCTTAATATATTATTTACACAAATGTAAAAAATAAACAAGCAATTTGATACAGATAGAGTATATCTTAGATTTTAATGCATAACCTAGTGTGTCTCCATTAGAGGTGATCGTGGATCGGGTTGGGTTGGGTTGGGTGACATCCCATCCGTCATCAGTCTGAAATTAAGCAGATTGAAAAAATTAATCCGCATCCATGCATCGGTTTGGTAGATGCGGATTGGCGAATGGATGCGATCGGTATGACAATTTGAACATTACAAATTTTGAATATTTTTTCAAATTATAATTCATTACTTTTACAATCTCTAATAACTATTAATTTGAAAAAATATGTATTATTTGTCTATAATAAGCCATGCCATCATGTATGCATATTTTTAAGGTATTATTTTTAATTTTTATAAAAATATATATTTAATTATTTCTACTCTATGTTGTTACTTGTTAACAATTCCTTTTTTTTATGTTTGTTTTGAACTTCATCTATGGGCGGATCGGGTTCATGTGAGTGTGAGATGGTTGATTTGCCATCCAAACCGTATTAGTGGATTTTGAAATATTTTATCCGCATCTATTTGCCAAAAATCAATTGAGCTAGATTAGATCAACCGGGTTGAGCGAGTTGGACGGATCCATAATCATCCCTAGTCTCCATATTTGCATTGAGTTATTTATTGTTTCTATCATGGGTTTTTTTATTATGGTATTTGTTGAACTTGAGTTGTTTCTTACGTATCAAATAGACTATTAGCCCAACAAGAACTAGAGAGTCAACAACCACCAAACCTAACACAACCAATCCCAAACCCAGCAACTACTATCTACATTCAACCCCTATGACGGGGGAGAAACAAACACCATCACAAAAGATATCAAACTTCTATTTATAAGAGTTGAAATTGAAACCTCACACCACAAAAGGTACCACATAATCAATAAGTAAAATGTTATTTAATCACTTATCAATTGGTAAAACATAAAATAAAATAAATAAGCTAAGCCTAACTATTAGAGACTCGAAATTTTCCAATAAAATTGTCGCCTCAAAAATAACTAAGAGGTAACTAGCGTTTTTCTACTTAATTCTATTTACCCATTTTTTTAGTACTCTATTTGTTTTAAATTGTTTGCTTATTTTCATTATTTCATACATCTGAAAAAATCATATATATATTTTTTCATTTATTTATTTTTTTCAATGAAAACTCTATCTACAAGAACTAATTGAGATATTTTAATTTGTGGAAAAAAATTACAAACCCACTCTAAGGCCCTGTTTGGCAATTTGTCTTTTTTAATAACTTTTTGATTTTTTTGGTGTAGTGAAAAAGTTAGTATGTTTGAAATGATTTTTTAGTTGAATAGATAATTGTAAGAAAAAAAGTGAATAATTGATATGTATATTGTGACGTTTTAACTTTTTTGGCTTTGATTTTTTTTTTTTTTTTTTTTTGTGACTTTTTTACTTTCTTAACTAAAAAAATGAGTAACCAATTAACGAATTTAAGATAATAAAATTTATTAAATATTTCTCTATCAGGTTTATGCAAATCATAGTGGAGATACTCATAGTAGTAACGGAATTGGGAGACATGCTAAAAAGATGCAATTAGGTTGGTGAACTAGAAATTCACGAAAATGCATGATAATAATACCAATAAATCGTCCATCTCGTAGCTATGATTACAAATTCAAATGTACCTTTTTTCGTGAAAATTTCTATTGTGAGAGAGAGATGATACTTACTCTTGCATTCAGTTGTGGTCCTCATTAGATAGAGAATTTTAACACTTTCAAAAGGTGACCAGTTCTAATTTCTTTGTTTGTATCTTGTTACTAAGCAAAAATCAAATCAGTTCTATTGTTCATTGTGGTCAATGAGAGGAAAGTATAAAAAAAATTAAATCGCCAGTAACAATTTTTATACAACTTATTGTTCATTCACTTGTTTGAGAGATCGAAACTCTTTATTTTTTTCTGTCTTTTTTTCTTTTTAATAGAAGTTAATAATTTTTTCGTTATTCCTATTGTTATTATCAATAATACAGGTTGTGTTTCCTTGCTTGAAAGAATTGACAATTTGGGGCGTGGGCAACTCTGAACAGATATGGATAAGCACACCTCCCACCAACTCCTTCAACAAACTAGCAAGTTTATCTGTGGGTTGGTGCGACGAATTACTGTATGTTGCTCCATCAGAACTACTTGGAAGTTTGCAGAATCTACAATCACTTGAGATAAAATATTGTTCGTCCCTAAAAGAGATATTCAAAACCAGAGAATCAAATGTAAGGGAAGGAATAGTTTCAAGAGATGAAGCAACAAGCGAACAAATTGAAATTATTTCTGTGCTCCCTCAATTAGAAAGGGTTTCCCTTGAACAATTACCAAACCTGATAAGCTTTTGCTCTGGGTATAAATTGCCACCATCAGTACAATTGTCAATACAAGAATGCCCTCCATTCCAATGAAGAGGTATGTCATTGACTCTTATTTATAGTCATCCAAAACCTTCATATTCATTATTATTAACTTTGTCTAACACATACATCCTGATTAATGTTAGTAATGTACAGTAGTAATTCAAACTTGTAATTCTAAGGGCGAAATATAAATTGAAAGGGTTTGTACTAATTTACAGAATTTGAAATAGCATAAGAATTAAATTACATGAAGTTCGGTGTTGGAGGCTAGTTCACACTATAACATTGGCCGCCGACACACCGAAGTATTGTGATTTTAGTGATTTGTTAGATGTGTTTGTTGCTTTTTCTCAACCTTACATCATATGAACTCCAGTATGAGTATCCAACATAAGTATACGTCTACGTACCATATTCACGTAAATCTTATATTCATAGACACTAGACAGATTTCATATGTTTTAAACACTAACATTTATATTATTCGAGTAAAATGGTGTTTAAAAATTAATATAGACCATGTCTTATACATAGTTATATAATCAAATCAAAGAAAATGCTAGTTAAGTATTTTTTTCAGTAAATGTTACGAATTTTTGTAACAAATGTTACATAATTTGTTGGTGCAGTGTTACAACAATTTGTGATTTTTAAAATGAAATTACAATAATTTGTGATACAATTACATATTTTATGGCAGTATAATGTTTTTTTTTTCCCGAAATGTTACAAAAAAAATTGAAATATAATATAATCTATTATTGTTGAGTAACATTTCAATGAAAAAGTATAACACTATAAAAATAGGTAACTGTATAGTTATTGACTTGGTTTAGTTGTTCAAATTGCTTACAGGTGATTCAATATTGAGATATGTTCAAACAAGGTTAGCTCTGCCTTTCCGCGGAGTTTCAGATTATCAAAGAAAAATTGGTTCATTATCATCTTATGTTAGCTAGTTCATCACAAATATGCTGAATGAGGGTTATTTGTTCATTTGGATGTGTCAAAAATGATTTTATTTTTATTTTTTTTGATTGAAGATTTGCTTGGTTTGGGCTACATAATAAGTATGTAAATCTAAGAGACCATTTGATTATGTGTACTACTATATATTGTTATGAACCATGGTTGTGTATGCTGGTGTTGGATTTGAAAAATATTATTGTGTGGACTAATATCTATCTATAATTGTTTTTAATAGTTGGATGTCATGTCTTTTCCTTTGGTAAGGCTGTGATTGATTTTGAATTAGTGTATGTACAGTAGGATATATGTAATTTGGTTTTGATATCTGGTAATATAGAGGTATTAAGAAAGTTTTATAATGGTTTCTTATAATTTTGCTTTTTAAGAGTTTGTTTCCAAGTTGGAACCCCTATATTACTTATTAATAACATTCTCTTTTGTCCCAAAAACATTTCTTTACACACCACTATCATGTATGGTGATTCTATTTTCTATTTCATTACTTCTTGGGGAATGGAAGTGAATTTTATAGATACTCTCAATCAATTAGCTTTTTGCAGTGGAAGTGATCTTTATTTGTGAATGCTTGGGAACAAGAAATTCACATCAAACAAGGGACCATATTTATAATGCATGGTGATCTTATTTTTTTTGTTTTAAATCTTCTTGGATAATGAAAATAACTATCCGAAATGGATTTATCTGGTTTTGCAGGAATAAGGGTATTAGAATAACCAAAGAGTAATTCATTGACTATCATGGAACTAGGGTTGCAAATGAACTGAGTTGTTCTTGAACAAGCTCGGCTTGGCTCGTTAAGGGCTCAGCTCTGTTCGACTCGTTTAGTAAACGAGTCGAGCTTGAGCTCGAATAAGCTTGACTTATTTATCTTTATTTAAATTATATAATAAATATATTATTTATATTATATAAATAATATTTTTAATTTAAATAATATAAATAATATTAAAAAAAATCTTGTCGAGCTTGAGTCCAGTTATTTATTGAGCTGAGCTCAAGCTCAGCAAAGCTCGACTCAACTCGGCTCGGCTCGTTTGCAATAGAAAAGTATAATGAATTGTTTATTTTGTATGTTTGTAATTAGAATGCGGCTTAGTTCTCTTTTTATAGTCAAACGATATTCAACTTGCAATTGTCGTATGGTGTTGGATATCTCCTCTCTCATCAAACGGATGGCCCTCATCAAAAGTCACTTCTTAGAGATCGGCTAGATCGTGTCTCTTATGGCTGATCATAGTGATCGACTACATTGTGTTTCTTTTAGCTAATCATGCTTTGGGCTTGTCATTGTGCTGGGTCTTCTTCTTCTTGGGTTGTTCGAGCATAAGATGTTTGGGCCAAACTTCTACTCCCCACAATAATATGTCTAACATTTTTAGGGGGGTGTTTGGTGGGGATCATACAAGTAGCTTATAACTTATTTTAATTTAACAATTTGTGACAGACTATTTGATACAACTTCTGTTTATAATTAGATAGTAATAACTTAAATAAACTGAATTTTTTATTTTTTATTTTTCAGAAGTTAAGGAATGAGTGCTTTTAACTTCTATTTTCTAATTATCAGCTTTAAATTTAAAATAATCTCTACTAAACACCACCATAAGGTGTGGCAATACTATATTATTATATTACTTATTTGTAATGTGACTCGTTATATTTATAGTTTATTGGATAAATAGAGAGATTTTAGTGAAAAAACCACGTTATGTATAAATATGTTTTTATCAATAGCCACAAAAACATAGCAATCACATTAATACACGTAGGGATAGACCAAGTTTTGATCATTGGAGGGCCTAGAAAAAGACATTAGATTGATTCTAACAGGAAGACAGGTCTGGTCAAATTTGAAAGCAATTGATTTTCATTTCATTTATACAATGTTTGGTTGGGAGATTTGGGAAGGAATTTGGTATAGCGATTCTGGTTTAGACCCAACCCACTTTTTATTCTGGACTCGGGTTTCATGGTTTCTTATTGTTGTTCGTGTCTTACCTCCCATTTTCTTCCTTAATTTTGGCTATTGGTTTGTAATAATTGTGTTTGGAACAGGTTGGTTGCTTGGTTTTCAAACTTTTGTTACCCATAATTTTACTCCTCAGCTCGAGTGTCACTTCTTGCGCTTGAGCAGGCTTTGTGAACTCTTAGTACTTTTATAGGTCTACAAAACTACAAGGAGAGTGAATTCTGCGCTCGAGCAGTATTTCCTATGCTTGAGCGGCCATTCTTGTACTCGAGTGATGTCTTCTGTCTGCAAAACTACTGGAAGTGTGTATTCTACGCTCGAGCGTCACTTCCTACGCTCGAGCGGTGATGATCTTTTTCATTGTGTCTTGGCACTTGAGCGTCACTTCTTACGCTCAAGCGGTAATCATTTTTTGTGTTTGGCACTCGAGTGCACTTCTTATGCTCGAGCAGACTGTGCGTATATCAGTTCGTAAAAGTCACTTTTTACATCAATTTTTCATCTCTCTCTCTCTCTCTCTTAACATTTCAAAAACCGTAGATCTAGAGCCTCTCTCTCTAAAACTCACACTTTCTTTACTTTTCACCTAGATTTAATGGTTTTTCTACGCGTGTGCCTTTGTTAAAAAGGTAGAGCATCTTAAGGGCGTTGTTTTCATCTGATTAGAGTTGGATTTCGGCTTAATCCGAGTTTCTCTCTTGCTTTGCTTGTCTTCTAGCTTTGATATATAACTTTTAACTTAGTTATTTGTTTTGTATAAACATTATGGTGATTTTGCAGGATTTTGAACAAATCTAGGGTTTTGATTTAAAATCAAAAAGGGGTTTTACAAATAGATGTATTGAAAATGGTTATGGGAATGAGTATGAGGTTGTGTTGTAATAAATGGTTGATTTTGATACGTGGGTAAGATTTTTAAAGAAAATGGAGTTTGCCCTAAAATGTCTCAAATATTTATTTTCTATAAATAAAAGGAATTGGTATTGGAAATGTGAAATTAGATAGATGTTTATATAAATGGTGGAGTTGGATATGCATTATCACTCACCTATGGAAATGTGAATGGTTTATCTATCTTGGAGATTGTATATCTGTTTAGAAATATCTGTTTTGGTCTATCGGTGGAGGATATCTATGATTACTGTAGAAATTGCATAAGGATTAGATGAATTGAAACTAACTTCTCATTTGTTGTCATTGAATATGTAGAGACCCTAATTTTTGTAATTACCATTAAATCCCTAACCTTGAGTTTATTTCAATAAATCCCTTGAATTTTCGCTTAATTGTGTTTTAAACCCTAGAATCGGGAAGCATCGCGGATTGATTCAAGTAAACCCTAATCGATCCCGTAGATTAATAATCACCTTTAAAACCCTATCATTAATTATTAGACCCTATAATTATAGATTAATCACTTTAAAATCTTAATTCCCGGTAATGCCGTTTTTGCTTGGTTTCTCGCCTTTGTTTGCACTTTAATTTAACGGGACCCAAATTTATTATTCTAACTATTTTCTAATGTTAGTATATTGTATACTAAATATCAAGGTTTCATAAATTTATACTTCGTTCGTATATACTTCTATTTTATTTCATTCTAAACCTTAAGTGTAGTACTTTCTTAATTAATTTACTTATGCCTATTATTTTATGTTTATAAATACAAATATTATATATATATATATATATATATGTATATTTCTTGGAGCCCAAGTAGTTGACCATGTGATGGATGAAAGGGCCTTGATCGCAACTTTGACAAATTACACTTATAGAACTTGACCCTTAAGAAACCTTCCAATCCTTCTCTATATATATATGCACACTTCTCCCCCCTCATTTTACACATTTTCAACAATGCGCTAGAGGAGTGAGAGAGAGTGATCTTGGAAAAGAGAGAGAGAGAGAGAGAGAGAGAGAGAGAGAGAGAAAAGAAGAAGAAAAAGAAGAATTGTGTTGAGTCTTGTACAACAAAGGTAAACCTACATCACCTCTTCTCTCAAGTTCTTTTACCACTTGTTTTTCCCCTCCTAATACATGCTCTTTATATATATATATATATATATATGTTGTAGTCTAGGCTTACACTCTTGTATAAATGTGTATTAATTAAGAAATGATATGTTTCTATTTCTTTCTTAAATTTCCAACAGCAAATCTTTTCCTTCTATTGAATTTATTTTCCTATCAAAACTCCATAAACTCAAAATCTGTTTTAATGGTGTAATATTTGGTATGTCTAGAGTATGTGATAATTTTGGTAGGACCTAAGGATGTATTTTTATAACCTAAAACATTTTTTCGAAGTTTGTTACTCATAGAACCAGAAAAATAGTCAACTTTGTCTATTTTTATATAAAATTTCAGAAAAATAATCTTGAATCCAATTTTATGTCAAAATCTTAATCTTGGTGTCATATTTTAACTAAAATTTGTTTGAATTCAAGAGAGTGAGGGGTTCGAGAGAAAAACTGATTTGCGTAACTATCAACGAATCTAGACAGATTTTGATAATTTTGAATTAACTTAAAATCTAAAATACCTAACCTACTTTCGTAAATTGAGTTTAAAACTAGACTTGTTTATCTACAAACTTGAGGCCAGGTACTTAGGGCTGATAAAAGTATTTGTTTCATAATTATTTTCAAACTGGTTCAAATCTGGAAATCCGGAAATTTGTGTTAATATGCTCATATTTGGATTGCAACTCTTATGTTCTATGTTTCTTGAATGTTTGCTTTACCATGAATAAATTACTTGTTGTTTAGTTTGGATTTGTAATTATACTGACCATGCTTTGCTATAACTGAGAACATAATGCACTTAATAAAGGGGAAATCAAATGGGATGGTAATGAGTTACGATCGTTGTATTAATATTTATGAGACAATGAATGATGGATTCAAGAGTATGATATAGTGGAATGTGTTCCATTTTGTGAAGTCTTGCGCAAGTGTGTTTTCGAACCCTAACATGGCATGAGAGGTATTCTAACTGTTTAATGAAAATAAGAGGCATAAGGGTGGCAGTGAGGGTCTCACACAGGGAGAGTATCCTTGGAAACCCATTTCCATAGGGCAGACCGTGATGTCACCATTCGGGTATGTAACCTAGGTGCGTGGGCATCATTGGTAACTTTGCGGTAAGCGACGCACTGGTGGTTATGCAGTAAGCGGCGCATTGGTATTGTATTAACCAAGGGGGAGTCAGAATTGCTCG